TGGATAGAGTTGGTGCTGCTCCCCGTGGGAGTCCCGAGGTCGGTGACGAGAGCAGCGAGCTTGTTCGGCTGACGAGCAGGGGCAGGGAGGTGGTAGATGGATACAAGCTCTTGTTCAAGAGCAACTCCATGCAAGGAGTTCACCTTGGTGACCTGCCGTCTCGCCTCCTCCCCTTTCGCTGATCTATGGAGCAGAAAGATTGAACGAGCAGCTGCTACGTGACGATCTCGGAGTTCAGCCTCTAGGACATCGGTGCTGATTCGGACTTTTCTTGCTCCCCTCACTGCCTCCTCAGCTTGTTCCTGTTGGCCGATCGCGACAAGCGGCTCAAGGCCTTGGTTCTCTTGTCGAGTTGCCGCCCCTCGCTGATGCGTCTTGTTCTGGCAGCAGGAGAAGGAGAGCGCGGAGCATGCTGCTTCAGATGGGAACGGCAACGATGGCTCGTTCCGTCATCGGTCCAGCTCGAGCGCACGGGTTAGCGAAGAGAGCAAGGGAGAGGAGGGAGCGATGGAGGGAGAGGAGGGAGCGATGGAGGGAGAAGAGGAGCGATGGAGGGAGAGGAGGAGCGATGGAGGGAGAGGAGGGAGGTCATCGTGACTGGCTGCAGGGCCATGGAGCACAACAAGCAGCTCACGGGAAGTCGAGGCTGTCGGAGGATCTGCACGCAAGAGTGAGTTTGACCAGCAGGAGCAGCGCGATGTCAGTGACGTGAAAGTGAAGGTGGTGGACATCTCAAAAAGGAAATGCAACAAGAGGAAGAACTGGTCCCGGGACGAGAAGGAAGTCGCTCTACAGGTCTGTCGGAAGAGGGGAGGAAGCAGCTCAACAAGCTGACGGGCTGAAAGGTTGTGGAGGCGCTGGATGGCTGTGTGGCTAGAGCTTCCAAGTTCTTGAGGTCAAGGAAGGCAGGAGCCTTGAGCAGCTGACGTCAACGGCAGGGAAGAGGTCGGAGGATGCTTCGTCACCGTCTCCCGTCCACAGCTCTCCCTGTGGAAGAAGAAGAGGAACAGCGTGCACAAGAAGCGGTCAGTCGCTGTGCTGCCTTCGATGCCTTCTGACTTGAGGGAGACCCAGGGGCAGGAAGTCGACTTACTGCAAGGAGCTTCCCAAGAGCTCGCCAGTGCTGCCTCTCCCTCCTGAAGCTTCGGGCTTGCCGGCCTCTTCGGTTACATGACCAGCTACTCAGTCATCGTCCTCACCTGGAGTGTCGAAGCTGCTCTACGCAAGCGATGGGCCGAGCAACTTCAAGTGGCTCAGTCAACCGACTCAGTGCCGGTGCCTGTCGATCTCTCGGACTCCGTCACGCCCGCCAGACTCGGAGGCTCAGAGAGCCGGAGGGTTTGAATGCCGCCGCCCAGCGGCCCGTGACAAGGACATCGGATGCAGCCGCGAGTGCTGCCGCTTGCCACCGTATCGGAGCCCGGTGATCTCAGTACGGTATGTAACAGGCCGGCTCGGATCGCTGGTGATTGGGGGGCGGCAGCCCGAACGGCGGCCGGCCCCATACTCAGTGACCGGTTCATCGGCGATGGTACTATCCCCGGGCGCCGGGCGGCGCGCCGTTTGTCACCGGCCGCGCCGTGCCGCTACTAGGCTATACAACTTGGCCACCCCGGCGGCGGGCGCCGGCTCGGCCAGGGCAATCGTGGCAGTACTCCGGCGGTGCGCCGGCCGCCGCGCCGGCCGGCCGACGTCGGAGCCTGCCGTGCGGGCAGGCTGCCTCCAACGCCGCGGAGCCTCCGAGGCTCCGTGTGGCTGGCATTCGGGCGGCCGGCGACCCGGCGGCCTGGCGGGGCGTCCGATGATCATGCGGCGGCCGGGCCCGGCCCGGGGTGCCCGGGCCGCGGCCGGCGGCCCGGCACCGCTGGCACAGCCGCTCCTCTCGCGGCTGACTCACGCGGCCCGGGCAGTTCAACGGTTAGTAAACATGTGACGGAAGTTCGTCACTCATATGGCAACTTAAAGTACGCATGATTCGGCGGTGAGAAAGCCGCCGCCGGGACCGTCCCCGGAACGGTTGGCCGCCTCTCAGCCTGTCACACGGTCGGTGGGGCTGAGTCAGTTCAATCATCCCCCGGGCCCGGCTACCGCGTAGTGTACCCGGTGACCGTCGCTGCCGCGGCCGCCAGCTCTGCCGAGGCTCTCAGTCAGGTCAATTGCCTTCAAAGTTCCGGCCTGCCAGTGCGTGACGGTTCACGGTTCCGACGGTTCACTGACCGGTTCAAAACGGTCCGAGTGTGGCAACGGAAGCCTGAAGTTTACTCAACTTGAAAGCACTGGCACACTGCCGGCGACTGAGTCAGACTAGTGAATCGGATCGGATGACTCCGAGTGACTCGCGGCGTCGGCCGGCGGCCCGCGCCGGGCACATCCCACTTTTAAAACTATGATTATTGCTATTTTATTTATAAAATGAATCATATAATTCATTTTAGGAACTACCGTTGGAGCTGGCCAGTACCCCGGGCTCAAGGACCCAAAGACCACCCCCCTTGATGGCCCTCGATGACAACTCAGGGCCATACCCACCCACCCCCTCAACTCCCCTGGCCCCCACCACTGCATCTGCGAATGATCAGAGGGCCGCCGGTCGCTCTAGTACGGGTACCCCTTATCACCCATTGCCTTTCATAGCAAAGGACCGGTACTTTTAATTCCAACTACCTACCCCCTTGATCAGATGACGGACGGTGCGACCCACCACGTACCCCCAGTCCGGGTCATGGGGGCCACCAAATCTAACCAGGATTGAGCTTGACCACCCCACCCTATCACGAGGCATGTTCCCCCGATTTGGCGAGCACTAGGGGTGCTTATTATTTGCCAAGGCTGTGCTCTTGATAGCACCACCCCATTCACAACGAACTTGAACCCCTACTTGAATGCGGATTGATTGATGAACCCCTGGTATTATCTGTATTCTCGTGGCGTAGGTACGGGTATTTTACACACCCTTCATGAAAGGACCCTGTCGATGTTTGTCTTGCCGTCGTCTGACCTCTCGGTGAATCCCAAAAAAGGTACCGTACCCACCCCTCCTCCGTATTTCACCCCACCCCTCTGGAAGATCATTCTTGGTAGTACCCACCTACTGAGTACCTTAGACCATCCGATCTTCACCACGGGTGGCTGTCACTTGTCTGAGCACCGTGAGACGGTGGTGTTGCTACCGTTCGTACCCGGTACTTTTCCCGGCTTCCAACCCCTCTTGACTTACCCCTACCCACTCATCCCCACTTCCCACCCACCCTTTTGATTCGGCTTTGTAGGTATAGGTTAGGCAGAGTAAGGTTATGATACCACCCCCACCCCTAAATTGCCATCCAAAGGGTTCCACCCTACCCCTTCCGTCTTGTTATGACCATTTCTATACCCTCACCACCCCTCCCCCTATACCACCCCACCATGTCTGAGGAGGGCCTCATTACCGGTTGAGACTGGATTGGATCTCGCAATGAGCAACGACGCCAGCATGATGAAAGCAGCATGCGCTTGTCTGAGACAGCTTCTGCCCTCTCAGCCTCCTCCTCCTCTCTCCTCTCTAACCTCCGCAACATTCTTGCTCCTCTCTTGCTAGCATCCTGTTCTGTCGAATGTTTACTTCAGGGAATTTTCATGCCAGACAAATGATGGTTGTGCCCCGATACTTCAGAAGCGCTTGATGCTTCTTCATGTACTTTGAATGTCTCTGCCTGCGATTCAATGGTTTCTTTCTTTTGTTCTTGTTTTGTGGGATCTTGTCTGCTGATTGCCAATTACTTGTATTTGATCTTGTGGGAACATCGGTGAGTCGTCGATCATTACCTCCACCCTTTCTGTATGCACAAAGAGTCATCTCACAATTTTGTTACATCAGAGAGTGTTTTGATGATTCCTGTAACATGGAGAGCTCGCTTTGAGGTCTTGAACTTCAGCAATGTGTCATTTTGTGTGGAACCATTCGTTGTGCCTCTTTCCCCTGTTTGCCCAGGTTTGAACGAATCATGAAGAAACCAAACCCATTTTAACTCATTTGTTCTGTTCTTTTAAAGACCGATTTTTGTCTTGATCTTATTCCCTGACAGCGTTCATTTGACAGGGATTCCAAACATCCATGGAAACTTGGTATCAAGATTATTCATATCCTTGAATTCCATGGAGCCGTCGGACTGCGCAAAACCAATGAAGAGCTCTGTGTCTGGCCCGTACCAGATCCCTGAATGTCAGGAGTGCCCGTTTGTTTTTGTTGATGGGGATCAGGTGCCCCTGCCTCGGATCGACTCGAGGTCGTTGAAGCTTGGAGCGCGGCTGGGGGCTGATGAGAGCAGCAACTCGCAAGTCTACTCTGCCGAGTATCGAGAGCCGGTGTCAGACACGAGACATGTCGTTGCCGTCAAGACCTTCCAGCGATGCGAGACAGACGAAGAACTACGTGCTGTCCATCATGAGATCGGGTTGCTCACCTTTGCCTCCAACCAACTTCATCACACGGCACGATGCATCGGGTGGTGTGAGAATAATGATGGCAGCCTCGCGGTTGTGATGAAAAGATATCAGCAGTCTCTCTTTGCTAAACTGCAGCAGACCGGAAAGTTTCCTCTATACATGGTGATAGACTATGGCAAAAAGATTGCGATGGCCATGGCAGAGTTACACGCGTATAACATTGTTCTTTGTGACATGAAGCCTGAAAACATCTTGTTGGACGAGTTCAACAACATAGCCATCTCTGACTTTGGAGTAAGCGTGCTGCTCAAGAATCACGAGCAAAACTCATTGGACGATCACATTCTACACGGAACTTTCAACTACATGAGCCCCGAGGCCTTCGACCCACACACCTTCGGGCGGTTGTCAACCAAGTCGGATTGCTGGAGTTTTGCTTGCTGCATCATTGAAATGATCACGGGGAAAAGCCCTGGCACACAGGTTCAAAGTCTGGGATCTGTTACAAGGTCACGCACTGTAGACAGCATCCAGGTGCAAATTTTGATGGTTGTGAATTTCTCCTTGACTTCTTTTTGCAGACATCCCGTCGGGTTTGCCTGAGGATGTCAAGCAGCTGCTGGCTTCATGCTTCTCCTTTGATAGCGCGAAGAGGCCGTCCTTCAGACAGATCTACAGCATGTTTGCTCAGGCCCAGAGGATACCCGGCGAAAGGAAGGAGCATTCTCTACCAAGAAGTTTTGAGGAGGCGAAGGAATTGTGGGATTCAGATCGTAAGAACATGTTAACCAAGATCAAGAACGATGCGGAAGTTATCTCTCAACTGCAATCATCGATCAAACATTACCAGGATGTCAATGAAAAACTGCAGGAGCAGCTCGTCTCGGTTGTGAACGGATTCCGAGAGAGCCAGAGACTGTCGAATGCGCAGCATGGGGCCGAACAGGGTGCTGGGCAGAACGGATCGGCAACGGATGCATTGAAGCAGTGTCAGAAGCAGAAGGAGATCGCAAAACAGATGCTGCGACAAGAGAGCGCTCGAACGCGCGAGTTGTCAGAGCAGGTGACGAAGCTGCTCAGCATGAAGTCAGACATGCAGATGCTGCTGAGAGAAATCTTCTTGGATTCTCGAGTCGCCATGGATCAAGTGTCTGTGATGCTTGCTGACACGATGGACCAAGATCGTGTGATTTCTCATGTCAAACCTCAGGGTCCTCTTGTTCGGGCGCATGTCGGACATGCGAACGTCGTTCGGTTCCCCCCTGGGAGTGAGGGGGGAGGATTCATGCAGGAGGAGCTGACGGTAGAGGACTGGAAGCATCTCTACCTGGAGAACCTAAGCTTGTCTCAAGCCTCCACCCCTGCCATCTCAGCCTACAACTCACTTGAAACCAACGCGCATGGCGACCTCCGACTAGTCTGAGGTCGCCTCTGTGATGGTTGGCGAATAAACCTCTTAATCTCTTGCTTCGTCCTCTGTCTTGTCTAGTTCCTGCCCTGCTATCTCAACAAACTGCATGTGGTTGTGTACTATCTCAATTCTGAAATGATAAGAGGAGCGAAGGGTGAAGGAAGACTGAAGGTAACAGGAAAACACTCGCCCGCAAGCTCTCGAGCGACTCGCAGCATGGCGTTGAGCACAGACTGCAAGGAAGGAAGTCACGACGGGAGGAGAGAGCAGGAGCAGGTACCAGGAGAGTTGCGTTCCTTGACGGCTCGGCATGCATGTGGACCCTGCGGATCTGCAGCAGGTGGGTGAAGGAGAAAGGAGGAGGGAGTAGGGAGGGAGGAGTACCACATAGCAGTTGAAGGCAGCAGTCTGGTAGTCGTCGGATGAGGAGCCTGAGGACGGGCAGGAACCGGCTCCTCCCCCCCCATCGTTGTTGGCCAGACTTTGCCACAGCCCTGCCGGACTCGTTAGCGGCTCCTCCTCAGACGAGTCGGTTGGGACCTGCAGCGAAGGAGGGCTCCCCGTAGAGCAGCAGCTGGCAGGAAAGGAGGAGAGTCAGGCAGGAAGGAAGAGCAACAAGGCGAGTCACCTGTCTGGCCGAGTTGGAGGGATCGCAAATCAGGTCTGCTGCAAGCTTTCCTGCCGGTGGAGTGAGGAGGAGGAGGAGGAGGAGGAGGGAGAAACCCTGGGGCCCGAAGGAGGAGCTTGTCAGGACCTCGTCGATCAGGAGCAGGGAGTATCTGCTCAATGCTATGAGCCCTTGCCGCTGTCTCCTCCTCCTCCCTCACCCGTAGAGATGATTGAACTGAGCTCCGCTTCCCTTCACCGAGTAGTGCCCCCTCCCCTGACTGATGTCGCCGTTCCCCGCAAACCCCAGCTTCCCGTTGAGGTCGCCGAGAGCATGCAGCAGCAGCCCTGCCTGTCAGGATGATCAATGAAAGGAGGAAGGAAGCAGAACAGAATGTGATGGTAAGGAGGGAGGGAAGAGCGAGGGAGAAGAGGAGGAGGAGAAGGCTGAGGAGGAGAAGGCGGATGAGGAAAAAATCAAGGAGAAAATGATGATGATGATGATGATGATGATGATGATGATGATGATGATGATGATGATGATGATGATGATGATGATGATGATGATGATGATGATGATGATGATGATGATGATGATGATGATGATGATGATGATGATGATGATGATGATGATGATGATGACGATGATGATGATGGGGAGTAGGGGGAAGAGAAGCAGGAGGAAAATGCGAATGATAACGACGATGATGAGGCAACGGTGTTGGTGATGGACATTCACCTGCACGATCTCCTTGAGGCGTGAGAGCTGAGTTGTCCCTAGCTCCTCTACGTTGGCGTCCTCGGGATTCGGTTGTTGACTCGCCTGAGAGGAGGAGGGAGAGGTACGTCGCTTCTTCACTTGGGTCAAAATGTCCTGGCAGGGGACGAGAGTTAGCAAGAGAGCCCTCGGCAGTAGCGTTTCAAAAGGAAGAGGAAGCAGGAGGGGGAGGAGGGGGAGGAGGGGGAGGAGAGGGAGGAAGAATATAGACGTTGATGGTGGTGTAGAAGGATGGGAGGGAGGAAGAGGGGAGGAGGGAAGAGGAGGAGCAGGAGGAGGAAGGAACCTGTGTCGCTGACTGTATGGGGAGCGACGAGAAGGTCTTGCTCAGGGCATCGATTCCTTCCTGGAGGGTCGAGAGGACACTCTTGCTCGCCCTGGCCCCGGCTGCGAACGCTCGAAGCTGAGATAGGCACCTAGCAGGCAATGAACACGCTCCTCGCTCTTCGCTCCCGATCCTCTTCCTCACGCGATGTTCCACTGGATCATAGCTTCACAGTAGAACGTGTCCTCTCGTGGATACCTGCTGCCTGTCTCATCTCCTCCCCCCCAACCCCCCCTCACTCACGCTAGCCGCCCATCCAGCAGGAGCCCTTGGGCCTGCCGAGCCCCCGCGTCCTGCAGGTCCATGCTCTTAGCTCCTCCTCCCGTCATCTCGTCGCAGATCTCCTCCTCCAGCACGTTGCACGCATCTGCGCTCTTCTCGTCAGCCTTCCCATCTCCCTCCCAGCTGTGACCTTGCAGCACGTGATTGACCATGTGAGCGAACGGCGAGCACTCGTTCTGTGCCCTCTGCCACCAGCGTGAGCTGGGGAGGTAGGTGGGTCACTTTCTGGACCTGAAGCAGCAGCAGCAGCCAGGCATCGCGTAGATTCCATGCTTCAATCTGAGCCATCGTCAGCTCCTTCCCAGCTCCTTCAAAGCTCCTCCACAGCTGGACCTTCCCATAGTTGGACTCCTTCCTCGTCCACAGCGACTTGCGCAAGCAGGCTGGAGCGGATCGCCCGCTGATGACTTGACAACCGTCCTGAAACCGATAGGCGAACGCCTGGGACCCTCTCGTAAGGAGACACGCGCGCAGCTCGAAGGCCCAGAGGATGTTTTTATAGGTCAAAGTGGTTGTGGAGGAGGAGGAAAAGAATGCGCATGGGGGGGGGCAGGGGATGGGAGTAGATCAAGTGCAGGGAGGAGGAGGAGGAGGAGGAGGAGGAGGAGGGTAGGTGAGGAGGAGGAGGAGGAGGAGGAGGGTAGGGAGGGCAGTTCTCCCAGGCAGCAGTATATT